TCCTGTTGGTGCACTTTCCCTGGAATGACCTCTTTCCTTCCCCTGCCTCCAATCTTCTTCTGCTCCAGCTCTATGAGGACTTTCCCATTCCCGAGACCCAGGCTGACCTTCCCTGGTCTCCTGTGAACAAGCACAGGAGCTGGAGTCCACCCTAAAACACCCTGGGGATCACTTGCATCTGCAGCTGTCACACTTTCCAAGCCCACCAAAGGGTTCTTGGCCCAAGCTCAAGTGCATACCTGAGGACTCGGAAGCACAGTGGGCTTCTAGGAAGGTGTGATCACGGGCCTCTATTGGCACACGCCATCTGACGTGGTGGTCTGAGTTGAACAGGATGTTCTGTTTTGTTTTCTGTACTGGCCTGTAAGCTTTTGGAGAGAAGGGTCATGACTACACGGAATAAGTCTCATCTTTACGCTGCCAGTGCGTGTACCTTAGGTGGGTGGGGGGAGTGCTTCATACCCTTTCTCCTAAGTCCTGGGAGTTCAAGGAGAGTTCAGTCTAGAAGTGAAGGAATTGATTTAGATTTTATCAAGGTCACAGAAAGATCACAGGTTCCCACAGGGGTCACTCAGTTCAAAGAAATAGGCGTGATACTTGGATCAAGATTATTTTAGAACAGGAGCTGCCTGAGGGGAGTGATAAGCAAGAAGCTGGAGACCTGTGAGGTGGATATGGAGAAGGGACCCCAAGAGGGGGGGGCTCTCTGCCGCCTGAGAAACTGAGACCTGACCCCAGGGGCAAAACTCACTGGCTTTCCTTACTAAATGTGAATCTGCTCCTGTCCCCAGGATGCTGACCTTGGCCTTTTGTGATGCTGACCTTGGCCTTTCGCCAGCCCTGCTGCTCACTGTATATCTGCAGGCAAGTCATTTTATGTGTGCCTCCTTTCTAAAATGAGGAAGTTGAAAAATGAAATGCTGGGGTTTGGCCACAGCATTTCTAGGCCCTTTTTGGCATCCGGAGTCAACCTGGGATAACATATCCAGTGCTGTCTGACCGACCCTGGGTTATCCCCACCTTGGTTAAAGAAGAGCCAGGTTAGTGTGTCCGCTCTTCTATGGGCGTCCAGTAGAAGTCTTTTTTTCATAAAAAGAGGATGGCAGGGATCCATGAGACGAAGGCTGTACATGGCTAAATCTTGCTTACCATAAAGGAAATGAGTCTGCATAGTATCTCCAGAAAAACCACAGTTCACCCCCTGTCCTGACTTGAATTGCGCATCAGAGCCCACGCTGTGGATGGACTCTGTCCCGCATGAATCAGAGGGGGCAGGGCTGGCCCTTCTCCACTGGTAGAGCTTCCTGGCGACTGTGTCAGAGTTTGAGTCTCCTTCTCAAACAGATCTCTCATCGAGGTTGCAAGCTAGGGTAATGCTGAGATGTCACACCTCACTGGGGTTTGCCTGCCTAGAGGAGAACATGTCTAGAGTCAGGAGCCGTGCCAAGGGTTCAGCAATTGCGAATTCTACCTGGCTCTGCAGGCACATATTTATTTCTAAAGTACCTGCATTTTGAAACAAAACATGAAATCAGGAGCATGTAAGCCAATCTTCACTGAGTTGCTTGAGACAAAACATAAAGCAGTGATGGCTTGTGTGTGTCCCATGTCTTGTGCTTGAGTATTTTAGGAAATTGAGTTTCTCTAATCCATCAGGAACAATGGCTTTGTAGTGTTCCCTCCTTGCTAGATTTGGAAGCAAGAGGAGCTTAGCACATCCTCCTACTCCCAGGGGCTGGAGAGAAGATCCCAGCCTTGGGTGTGGTTAAAGCCAAACACTTTGCTTCAGGACAGCATTAAAGACCCCACAGGCCCATTGAAGTTGTTGAGTGCCAGGATTACGCTATTCCAGGCTGGAGTCCTGAGATTGCCAAAATGCTCTGAGGCAACTGCTCCCAAAGGTGGGTTGAGATGTGTCATTCACAGAAGAGTTCCAGAAAAGTGCTTTCAGGGAGTCCAAATGGCAGGCAAAGGTGGGTAGGAGCCTGGCAGAGTGTAAGAAATTCAACCTGAAGGTCCAGGCACCAAGTTGGGGAAGAGAAGAAATGAGATGAATAATCACAAAATTAGGAGGAGGACTAAAGGTTAAAACAATCTAGATGAGAGTTTTCTATTTGAAAATGAAAACAGGGCCCTGTCATAAAATATACCTCCTAACCAGATGTAGGGCATGAGAGAGAACTACTGGCTCAAACTAGGTTCAGGTTCTATTTCTCCCATGGAACTTGCATAAGTCACTTAGTGTGAGTCTTTTGCATCTGTAAAACGGGTACTCACAGCGTTGCTTAGGCTGAGGCTCAAGTGAGCTACCAGGTCATGTGAGACCATATGTTATGGACCAAACCGTCAGACATACAAGATGCAGCAGTCGTTCCTAGGGCTGACAGTGGGAGCAAAGGTGCTGCTGGCTCTCCCCCTACCTTCCACCAGCTCCAGAGTCACATCACAGAGGCAGGGGCTTGCTCAGAGGATGTCATTTACAAAAGTCACGTTTAAAATAAGGAAATTGCCAGGACCCTGTCCAATGCTGGGCTTTTACTGTCTGAGGTCATCGTTGCTCTTCTCATTTACATTGGACCTGGAAATCCCTGGTTGAGCCTGGCCACCTCCAAAGTAAAGTCCTTTCTAACTACTAGATTCCAGGCTGCCCTTTCTTTGGGAACCTTACTCAAAGTGCACCATGAACACCCATAGACCAGAATGGCTTTCAAACCGTCTCATGTAGTTTTTTGAAGGTAGAGACTATGACTTCTTTCCTTGGGTTCCCACAGGATACGAAGAAGAAGAAGAAAGAAGAAGAAACAAGAAAGAAGAAGAAGAAGAAGAAGAAGAAGAAGAAGAAGAAAAAGATGGTGGGGGGTATTCTGAGGCAGATAGAAAAATACCTGCAGAAACACAGAAGAGACAGCATGGCTTCTCAGGCTTAGGCATTGCCAAGTGGTAGTAATACTCTTTCCTTCCTTCACCAGTCTTCCTGTCAGATGGCCTCAGTGGTCTCAGGTCAGGGCCATCATTCATTCTCTGTAAACTATTTAATAAGTACTTCACTTTCCACTGGTGCAGCCCATGACAAATCCACAGGAAATAAGAGCCACCAGCAGCGATAGGATCAGAATACTTTAATAAGATATCAGTGTCAAAATACATTTCCTTATAAAGTTAAGCTCCCAGACAGTTATAATGTTGTCAGTAGGAATTTGACAATATAATAATGTTCATGAAAATTGTTACGTTGACAAGTAAGGTTAATGTGAAGCTTGGAATATTTTTCAGACTGTTTTAGTAAACTGCAAGGGTAAAATGCCCTTAATGCTGAGGCAACAAACACAGGAAATCAAACACCAGAGTTTACATGTCGGTAACCCTTCAAGTTCTGCCGCCGTGTGTCAGATGACACTGTGCTGCTCAAGTGTGACTTAGGCAACACAGCAAGTGGGTAATTTTCTCTTATATCTTAGATTTCTTTTGAAAGCCAATATTTGATTTTGGCAATAAGTCCCTCTGGGCTTACCAAATTCTTAGCTGGATGTACTTTGTGTTGTGTGTGTTTAGAAACTTTTTATGGTACCCATGACAGAAAAGTTCCATGTTGATTGGTATTTAAAAACCAAAAGGTGTTGTCCCTCTTGCCCAGTGAGTTACAAAGTGCTCTGGGAACACTATTTTCAGTGCTTCCTACCTATATATGTCACTGCATGTGACAGAGACCTCAGCGAGGGCCTGAGGCTAGGGGCCATCCCTGGAGGTCCAACTGCTTCCCACCAGCAGGTGGCGCTGCACTTTGGCCTTGCAGGGCTGTCTGCCCATAGGCTTGAGTGAGGGGCATAAGGCTGGGGCTGGTGAGGACCTGCTGCCCCCGCCCCCACCCTTTGGTACCCTCTCTCAGTCCAGCTCCAAGGTCATGAGCTAGGAGGATGTGGACTGGGTCACCAAATCATTTTGAATCCTCACTTGTTTCCATGAATTCCCATCGAAACAATTTCATGGTAGTTCTGGAAATATTCTAATGTGCCGCGTGAGAGACTGTTAGAGTCACATAGCTCAGTGCACTTGAAGGGCTAGCAACATAACCTTAAGAAAAGTTAAAGCACTTCCTCTCCCTTAGCATTCTCCCCACCCCCACCCCTGACGTGCCATCAGACCCTCTGGCAGCAATAATAATACATACATACATACATACATACATAATACATAGAGAACATGAGGAGAAGACAGCTTGCACGCTCCCACTTAATGATTCCACGTCTTGGATTGTTTGTCACACCTATGGCATGTCGCAAAAGCAAAAAGCCAACAAAGAGAGATCTCTAGCAGTGTTAGTACAGGCCTGTGGGAGTACTGTACAATTCTGCAGCGCCAGCAATGTGGAGAGAAATAACATTAACAGCTTCAAAAAAGATCTTAAAGTGATTTTGTGAGCAGGATTCTATTTCCGTTTCTAAGTTTTTAGATATTACAAAGTACCCATATATACGATAAACACTTAACCCAGATATAAATTTTCCTTTAAAAAACTCAGTTATGCTTTTGAATAATAATAAAAAATCCACCAGATTGGGGGTGGGGGGAAACACCAAACAGTTTAGGAAAAGCCACACTGTGCAACTTTCACAGGTAACCATGTTGGAGTTCGCCCTTCACATTGCTTTTTTTTTTTTTTTTTCCATATAAGTCATATCAAAATTAAAGCAAAGAGTCAGCTTAAAAAGAAAAAAAAGAATGAAATTTACCATATGGTGATTAATTAAAAAAAAAAAGAAAAGAAGGGCTTTGAGAGAGAGAAGCCACAAACAAGCTTGGAAAGCAAAGTCCTTTTTCTCTTTGGCAACAACAATAACAACAACAACAAAAAATCTTTTTAGTTAAATGGAGCCAAAGCTTTCCCTACAGGAGGGCAGACATACAGCAGATTCATTAGTATGGACACTGTGTGTGACAGAGAAACCTCCGGGTAATATAAATTAGAAGTAATCGAAGGCAGGGAGAAAAAAAATCTTATAAAATTTAAGAACATTTTAATTGACAGCAAAAAACATAGCAAGTAAAACAACTGTGTATTTTAAAAATAAGGATAATAAAGTGAGCATCTCAGAAAAAGGCCACTGCTTGGTGACCTGGGCAAACTGACCAGGTAAGTACATCTTGTAAAAAGTGTGCTGGTGTTAGAGATACCTAGTTGCAAACACAGACGCAGGGTGAGGCCGGTGGGACGGCGTCGGCAGCGGTGTGCCCAGAGGAAGCCCTGGCTCAGGTGGCCTGGTCCAGGGCTCTGAGGAGGTCCCCTCCTTGCAGGAGTGTGGAGCTTCCTGGCACGGGAACATTCACCTCACAGTCGTATCTGGTCAGTTCGGGCAGCAGGTAGGGCTCAAACGAAGGCCCAAGCAACCGGCTTGCCATGCCTGCAAGAAGGTTTGGGATCATATTTTAAAGGCCTAAATCAAACACTGGCAAAGCATCCGTTCCATGACTAGCAGGGAGGAGAAGGGCACGTGCAGAAGGAAAGGAGTGTCTCCAGTGTCCCTGCTGGGGGTCGGAGGGGGCAGCCCTGACTTCACTGTGCTCCTTCAGCGCTCTTTCCAGGACCTACTCCCTGCTCACAGGATGACCCAGCAGAGAACGCAGCAGCTTCCAGACTCAGCAGCACTGAGACCCCCTCAAAAGAGGGAAGCAGACCACACACAGGCAGGGCTCTGGGAGGAGGAGGGTGTGTGGAAGAGGGTTTGGGAAGAGCCCCAAAGATTGCTGGCCCCGTGCCCACCAGGCACTGGCAGCAGGGAGGAAAGGGATTCAGAACCTGTAAGACCTGTGCCACAGGCACGCCCACACGTGTGCAGGGTCCCTCTGCAGATCCAAGGGTGCAAAGACCCCATTCCTCCTTATCCCTGGGTCGCTCTCCAGATGAGTAGAAGGACACAGGGGAAAGAGTCACAGGCCACTCCAGGAGGGGAAGGCTTGGGCACTGTGGGAGCAGCCCTGCAGCTCTTCAGCAGCTCTTTCCTTTCCCTTGGCTTATCTGGAGAGCCTCATCCCCTGTGGCCACTCCCTCCTGGACCTGCTGAGTCAGAGCCCTCCAGGGCCCATGCCTCCCTCCTATGCCCACACTGGGGTGGTACCAACAGATATTCGCTCACCACCCCTTGCTGATTTCCCCTCTTCTTTTATTAGTGTTCAGAAATGACCTGAGTTGAAAAGATGATTTCCCCATTCAAGGAATAGTCACTCAACTTGATGCATCGCAAATCTCTCACTGAAACTTCCTGGCTTGCCTGCCAACCAGCTGATAAACAGCAGAGCTGGAATTCAAGCCCAGGGCTGTCTGGGGCTCTGCAGCCTGGGGCTACGAGCATGAAACTGTAAGTTTTCCAAACTTATACTGCTGAGGACAAGGGTCTGGTATGTTTTTCTAAAACCACAAATTATGTTCATGCCAAATAGAAACCTCCTTGTTAAGATACTGTTTCCCATCTATGTTTTGGCAATTGTAACTGAACCTTCTAGAAGACAGTCCACTGGTGACCTCTCCCAGAGCTCCAGGCCATCCTCCTGCCATCTGTTTTCAGCTCCTGCCTGACCTCAGAGTGATGCCCCATGTGCTGATAGGGCTTTGAGCACTACAGCAGTAGGAAAAACCGTGTAAAAGACACAGGTTCTGGACTCTCAAGAGCCCTGAGGTGATATGATTGCTGGAGGGTCCTTTCTAAATCTCTGTGGGCAGATGGCCTTCAGCCCCTGCACTTATACTTCTAGGGAGGGAGAGTCCATGCCTCTCCAGGTGGCCACCTTTCCACGGCAGCAAGCTTTTCCTTGCACAAAGCCAAGATCTCCTACCTGGTGATGTCCATCTCCTGTCTTTGTGTACCCCGATCCCATGCACTCTCCTTAACTCTCTCTTCTTTAATAGCCCCTCCTGCATCACAGCTTCTGGTCCTTCACCTCTGAACACACACTCTGTCAGTCTTCCGCCTTCAGATCCAGCCCCTTGGGGTTTGGATTCTTCCCTTCGGCTCTCTACCCTGAATCTATGTTAGGTGTTTTGATGTGCTTTACCCATTTTGGACCCACCCCCTGGGGGTCCTCGCTGGTCAGAGGCACTGTCGAGGGAACTGTGCAGAGAGTGCTAAACCAGGGTGTGTGAGCTTTGAGAAGGGGCTCTTTGGGCAAGTCATTTCCAAGCACTTCTCTGTGCCTGGCACCGAGCAGGTCCTGAAAGAAAGGAGAGAGGTGGTCTTGGCCCTGGGAAACCCAGCACTACAGTGGGCTGAAGAATCCCATGAATGGTACCCAGCATGGCACCAGGGGACATCAGGGACTCTGTGAAGGCAATTGTTTTAAGTTTTCCAAGTGCTAAATTGTTCCATGAAGGCAGCTGTTCCTCATCTCCCTACCCAGTCAGATCTCCATGCACATCAGACCCTAGGAGGGGCACCAGCTTCTGAGGACACACCTGACACCTTGGGAGTTGATGGCAGGCTGTAGTTCTGGTACTGGGAGGCACAGCACTGCAGGGGGAACCCACTCTTGGTGTTCTCCCTGGAGCTTATTGCAGATGGCGGCTGCGGTGGCGGCAGGTGTCTCAGGGGCTGGCCCAGGCCCCTCATGGGGTTTTGAGTGAAGTCATCTGAAAGACCAAGGCCGGAGAATGAAAGTGTTAGCATCTGAGGGAGGGAAGGGGCCGTGAAGTCCCCAGCAGCACTTTTGTTTCACAGAGGTACTCGGAATCCCAGCCAGCCCCTGGGACTGCAGAGCCCAGAGACTGCCGACAGCATCAACACCGGCCCGTCCTAGCAGGGCGCAGGGAGCAAGTGAGTGGAGGAAGCAGGATGGACCCTGAGTCCCCAGCCCTCCAACCAAACCCGCGGCCCAGGCCTGCTCACCAGTGGGGCCTCTTGCACTCGGGGGTTTGTCAGGCATCAAGGGGCAGTTCCCACCCCTGAGGCTCTTCATGCGTTTCCACATCAAATGGGGATTGCTGCCGCCTGGAGGGTCCCCCTGTGTGTGGGAAGGGCAGATATAGGGAGAGGCATGGAGATGCCCCCACCCCGCTCCCCAGGGCCTGGACAGGCACTTGGAAGTGCTCACAGCAGGCTCAGAGTCACCCACCAGCCTGGCTGAGGACTGGGGTGGGAGGGTGCCTATAATGCTGCCAGTCAGAGATTGCTTACCCCACTCGTGTCCTGGAAGGCTTGCTCCTCACACTCCAGTTGGCGCTTCAGCTTGAGCTTGTTGGAGAGGGCTATCATGGCCGGGCTCATCGCGTCTGGGCCCCGAGGCCCGAAGCCCTTTGCAGACCTGCCAAGCCCAAGAGAGTGGGCCGTGAGGTTGTCTAGAGCCATGCTGCTCGGTGCCTTCACCTGGACCCAACTCTTTTATGACTGGGGTGACTTGCAGACCCAGAGGGCAGAGTGGCAGAGGGGGCTGCGTACCTGGAGGTTAAGCTATAACTCAACCTCCGTTTCTTCTACCTGGCCAGATGCTGAATGGTTCAAGCCACTTGTATCACCTCCATATGCCTGTCCATCTGGGCTGCCCTCGGGTGTGGCTGCCCATGAGGTGACATTAGTCCCTAAGGGATTTCTTTTGCCTCCATCTCTCCCCTGCCTAAGCTGCTCGGCTCCCTCTTGCTTCCCACTGAAGATCAGCTGGGATGCTCTGTGAAGGTCATGTACCCCATGGAAGCAAAGTCACATGTCAACCACTGAGACTTAGCGAGCTTCCAGCTGGTTGAAATGGAGTTTATTGGAGAGATTAAAAGATGCCGAGAGAAGGTAAAGTTGGGGCTCACGTGGTCAGTAGAGGACACTGCAGTGGGAGACTTGGGCCATAGGAAGGCTCAGAGTTCAGAGAAGATCTAAAGGGATCAGAGGCCTGGGGGTGGGAGATCTCTGGGGCTCCAGTTATCCCATGGGTGAGTGCCTATCTGTCCCTTCCCTGCCCAGCCTAACCCCAGCAGATGCAGCCAAGGGTCTCTGCCACTGACCTCATCTTGAACAAGGAGACTTGGGGCGAGGCGATGGGGGGCCCCAATGGCGATGCCCCCAAGGACTCAATGTGCTGATCCCCAGCAGGCCACTTTGTGGGCCCAAAATGTAATGGTGGATCTGGGGGCCACTGTGTGTTGGATCTGCCCCCCATGGAAGAGAGAGGGGTGCTAGCCTGGCCACAGCATGGTGGCAGTGACCCCTTGTTCCTGGCGTCAAAGAAGATGGAGGACATGGGCCGGTGCTCGGGCTCTGTCTTCTTGTTTTCCAGCTGCTGCTGGTACTTGTCCAGGAGGAAGGGGCCGTGCGAGGCCACAGGGGCCAGAGGCTGGAAGATGCTTGTCATGGCGCTGAAGCAGTGCTGCGGGGCGGGCTGCGGGCTCTCTGGCAAGCATGGCTCTTCCGGGCAGATGGGGCTTAGCTGGAAGTCCTCCCCATCCATGGGGATGTAGGGCGCCAGAGTCTCCAAGTCCAGCTCATTAAAATCAGTCTGAGGAGAGAGAGCAAGGGCACTGCGGCTCAGTGGTTGGTGTTATTCCAGTCCCTCGTCCCTCCAAGGCCCCTACCAGAGCCACTCATCTCAAGCAGGACTTCATCATGTTACTCCCCTGCTCACCTCCAATGGCTCCCCATGCAAAATACTCAGACTTGGTCATTTAATGAGAAAGGTCTTTGGTCAAGGGTCATCAGCCTTTCTATGTTATCCCTCCATCTGGCTCCACAAGTCTCCCGGTTCACTAGTGTCACCTCCACACCCAACCTGAAATGCTCTCCATTCCGCCCATCACAATCTGCCTGCCTTCCCAGTCGGGGAAGCCCCACCCCTGTCATAAAGCTGTCCCTTCCTACTCCAGCTGCAGTGGTCACCCCTTCCATGTCTTCCTGACACACTCAGGCCTGTGGTTCACAACGTGACTCCTGGGGATACAGGACAGCTTGACCTCACCTCCCTCGTATGACTGGCACCAGCCTAGGCATGCAGTATAGGTGCCCAGGGTACATCTGTGGAAGTGTACAGCCAGGCTCCAGGGAAGGGGGACTTTATTCCAATCAGCAGGTATGTGGAGGCCACACTTAGGTTCCCAGTGTCAGGAAGGGACCCACAAGGAATACTCATGCATAGTTGCAGAAAGAAGTACCTTCAGGGACTGACCCCCTCACTTGGGAATACAGCTTAGCAATGGTCACAACTATAGGAAACAGCACAAGCAGGTAGTTCCAGTTATTTTGTGGAACAGATGGAATGTCTGCCAGGCAGGATAAAAGGGGGAGATCTGGATGAATAACTCCAGACAAATGGGGGAGTAATGATTTTCCCTGGGGTTTTATTAAACACACACCTGTCCACCCACCTCATCCTTTTATGTTTGTGCAAAAACATGAGGCCTTATGAAGCTGTGTATAAATGAAAGTTTGTCAATCAGATATCATTTAAAAACGCATTTCAAATAAAATGACAGATTCTATGATGAATGTATTTGGGAAGGGAGTAATTGTTCCCTATGATTAGAAATGTTTTGTGAATCTGGATGAGCTTTTGAAGAGGATGGCTTCCTTAAAGAAAGGTTTAGTGTTGTAGTTTTGGTTTGCATGTGCAAAAAGAAAGTTACCCAAATAAGTAGAAGGTAAATAAGCTGAGAGTTAAACATGGACGCTCTGGATTTAACACAGGTAGAGCAGAGGACAGGAGTTGGAGGTGGGGTGACCCTAAGCCCCCTGTCCCTTCACTCATTTTAGGGACCTCAGCCAAATTTCCCCAGTGGTCTTTGCAACAAAAGGATGGACAGGCATCTTTGCCACTCACCAGAGAGCATGCATGCACACCACTGTGTCTGCTGCATGGTGACCTACCTGGGTGCTGCACTGATCCTTTGACTCTGTATCCATGGCAAAGAGCTTCTCTATCACTTCAATCTTGAGGTCATCCCCCAGAGATGAATAATAGTCTCCAGGGCTGCTGGGCTGGGGATCAGGAAGAAGGGGGACTGAGTCAAGGACATGGCACTAGTCTCCCCCAGAAATCCAATGTGGAAGGAGAAATACATTCCTGGACCCGCTCAACTCTCCTCCACCAAGTATTTGTAGAGGGGCTATTGATGAGCCGTGTGAATTAGATCAAGTCGCCAACCTCTCTGAATACCAGTGTCCTCACCACAAAAAGTTCCTATCACTTTACGGAGTGTCTTGAGAAGCAAACAGGATAAAGGCTGTGGCCAGTGGGGTTCTGCAACGGCAGCCCTACGACCTGCATAGGGACAAGCCGGGTGCTCAAAGCTCTTTAAGGAATCGCCATTTTGGTGGGGGTGGGGAATGGATACCAACAGTCAGCCAGCAGCTCTAAGCCCTGGCAGGTGAATGGCCACGTTCTGGACTCTGTGATAACTGAAGGAAGAGAAGGATCGTCCCTTCAGCCATCCTCAGGAAGAGGAGCCCTCCCTCTCCATATTCTCTCCCAGGGGTGGGGAAGCTCACCGTGGAGCAGCTGCTGCTGCTGCTGGTGGCACTGGGGGTGGTGCTGCCCAGGGCAGCCACCTGGGGCACGGTGAAGGCAGGCAGACTTCCAGCTTCGTTCTGGGCACCATGGCTCCTCAGCTCTGCAGCCCATGGCTGGCCTGGGGGCAGGATGGCCTTTCTATAGGGGGACTCCTCGGGGTTCTGGTTCCCTGTGGAGGCAAGGGCCTGCTCAGCTGAACTTCTCTACCACAGGCACCAGGTAGAGGAAGCTGAGAAGGTGCACAAAGGGGCCTGAAAGGGTCTTGAAACCTGCCTGGGGCTCAGCCCTCAGTGCCCCAGGTGGATCATGGCCCCTGACTGGGGCTATGATTCAATGCACAGATTCCCTGTAAAGGGAGCAGGCTCTTGGAGCAGTTCATTTTCAAACTAAACTTATCCAGAGCTACTTTTCCTGAAAAGCAATCCAGAATATAGAGGAGGAAGTGATGGCAGAAGTACTGGGCCACTGGCCTCAGGATTTATTACCAAGAAACAGGGGCTACAAAGTGTCTGGTGCAAGGGCCCACTTGCCCTTTATGATTCTTTGAAGTGATTCTCACGTGGCCTCTCAAGAACACACCGGAGAGGGAAAAGGTGAGCAGAGACAGGGGTGGTGATTCTTCCATCGGCCACAGAAAGGCCAGGGGAGGGCGACTACCTAGAAAGGGGGGCTTCCCAGGTCCCCTGCTAGGGTGTCTCCAGGAGGGGAGCAGGGAAGGGTCAGGAACGCTGGGAACCATATGACTTGTATCCCGGGGAGACAGGCAAACATTTTAATCAAGTTGGGCATTTGAGGGCTGACTCCTGGCCCTTCTGGAATTTTCCCTCCCATTATCCCAATTTAACTCTCCCTCTAAACAAGCCGGCCATCCTTCGAGGTCTAGGAGGGGATCCACCCTCTCTCTGGGGCAATGTCCACATCCCCCCAACCCTTGCTCGACTCTCCCTGCCTGTGGTGAAGCAGCGGCTCTCATGACCACCTCCCTCAGTACTTCACGAGGGCAGATTTAGGATGGTCTTGGTGGCAAGGGCACATATGCTTCTTTCATGTCCTTCAGAGCCTGGCTGCTGACAGATGATAGCAAGATGTTGGGGGAGGGCCAGAGACAGCTCTGGTTTAGGAAAAGCTGTAGCTGGGAAGGCCTGTTTTGGTAAGAACCATCCCTAGTCCCAAGAGGGATGGGCTCAGCTCAGCTGAAAGCACCCACCGAAATCCAGAGAGATGATGGCATCTCCTGGGGTGGGGGCCAGCTGGGCCAGCTCTTCGGGCTCCTCCTTCAGCTTGGTGAACAGGAAGTTACTCTTCTCAGATACCTCGCCACTATTGTCAAAGATGCTGTTCATGGCCATCAGGTGAGGCTTGAACAGGGATTCAGTCTGGTCCATGGAGAAAACCACGTCGTTCTTCTCAATCTCACTAATGGGACAAGAGAGCCATTGAGACCTTCTGCATTTTCCAGTAATATCCTCTGGCTTCCCTAGGCACACAGAAACTCTGATAGCCACGCCTCTCCAACTAAGTGATGGGCAGGGACACTGGCATTTTGTGAACAGCCACACAACGGAGGCCTGTGAGCTGTGGAGGCAGTGAGGGCAGGGGCATCCTGTGTACACGTGCACCTGTTTGGGGTGCTGCCTTAGACTGTGTTGAGCTGGGGGGGTATGCAGGAGGGTGGACACTTTTGCTTGTTTCACCCTCACAATGACGTTTTCAGGTATTCTTCCCACACACTGTAGAGGGAAGTGGCTAGATCTGCTTTTCCCAGAAAGCACGAACAATTCTCTTGCTCATTTCCCCATTCAGAAAATATTAAGAGACTACTGTGTGCTTTCTGCCTCCCTATGTACCACAGTGTAATGACAGATAAGTGGGAAGGGGCAGAAGAAAATCCTCAGGAGCCCAGTTCCTAAGATCTCCATGGGAAGTCCTCTCAGGCTCAAGGATTACTACTGTCAACAGCTCCCAGAGGTGGTGCCCAGGGTTCTGAGAGGCTGGGTGTCCCCATGCCTGTGGCTCTCAGGCACTCCTGCGCACCAGGTCCCAAAGCCCACCAGCCCTCACACACTTACCTCAGGACATAGTTGATGCACATGATGCACTGAGGCTGCAGGTTGCGAGGGTTGTAGATGACTGTCCCTTGCGTCTCTAGCCACACGTAGCCCCCATGCTTTGCAAGCATTCGGTACTGGCCACTCACCACCTGTCCCTTGGTGCACACTAGGGGAGGAGAAAAGGAGCCTGAGGTGAGAGAGGTAGGGGAGTGGTGTGCACCACAGGCTCAGGAGACTCCCCAAGGAGGGCAGGTGTACAGGGGGACAGATAGAACTGGGTCCAAGACAGTGGGGACCAGGGAGAGGGAGCTGGGAGGGAGCTTAGAGATCATCTTGGCCAACTCTTCATTTTCAATGTAGGCAAAGGAGGTTCAGAGAGGGCACAGGACTTGCCCACAGCTGTACAGCTAGAGGGGACCCACTTACTCTGAAGCTTTGCAATATCCTGTCCCCAACCTTCCTGAGTGAGGCTCCTGGACCAGCTCAGCTGTGAGCAGAGTCTAGAGCAGCACCTGCCCTGCTTTCCTCATGGGGTTCAGTGAAAGGAAGCCCCTGCCCTGTAATGCACTCTAGGAAGTGGGGGGCTTGCACACAGCGTGGAGAAAGGCTGACCTCAGAGCCACCTTCTGCAGCAGGCATGTCACCAATGCCCTGCTTGTGGATACAAACATGTTGGTTCCTTTGCTTTCATGGCTATCCTCCACCTTTAGGGCCAGAGAAGCTTTGAAGTAAACCCCTCTACTCTCCAGCTGGGGTCCAGAAGGGCCGGGACCCCAGCAGCCCCCACAGCCTCCTCTTGAGCGGTGGAAAGTCCTTGCACTCCTCTCAGCTGCCCCGTGGGCTGCTGACCTGCTTATGGCTTCTCTCCTTTCCCAGGTTATTCTGTTCATTTTAGGTTTTTTTTTTTTTTCTCCTGTCTAAAATGCATTGAGAAGGGGATCCTGTGTTTATTATCTAAAAACATCGGGGAAGGGGCGTCCCATCCTGGCCTGTGCTTGGCCCACAATGCTCTATCTGCTGTCATTGAAAAGGAATTGATAAGTCCCTTTATTCTAATGACTACTACTGTGAGAATTGCTGACGGTTTTCCTACTTGTCCATCTGCTTTCATTCCTCAGGAATGAAAGAATTCCAGCTCCAAAACCCCCAAGTCACAGAGAACTGGAAAGAGGCACTTGATGGACAGGCCAGGTAATCTTACTAGTCTGGGGACTTTGGGAAAGGTTTCCTCCTCTGCAAAAGGTATTGATAACAGTAGAAGTAATGATAATAATTATTAGCTATATCTGGTATACCACTGTTCATACTAAGGGCCAAACGCACTTGCCTGGTTTATTGGCCACACAAATGTTGTATGGGAAAAGCCACCTGTTTCCCAAAGCTACTAGTATGTATAGTGATCAGGGCCTGTCACCAACAGTTATGTTACACGTTTGCAGATAATGTCACAGGGACCCCCTGGGAGAATATACAGGTTTTTTGTACACAGAGTCTCTCCATTTCTCCTGGTGGGCTTGGGGGCCCCCTCCCCATTCACTAGCCCCTGAAGTGGAGGGATGCAGCTCGGTTCACAGTAACGCTGCCTGTGAACCATTAAGCTTGTGTTTTGCTTGGCACAGTTTACCCTCTTCAAAAATTTAACAAGCACCTGCAAGGTGCAGGAATTAATGTGACTTACATGAGCACAGTGCTTTGCAGTGTCCAAAACGGTCTCATGAGATGAATTCATTTCTGCAAAGCAATTAGATCAGTGCCTGGCACCTAAGGCACTCAGTGAGGCTCAGTGTCATTGTTACCTCACCAAACAAGCAACATCACGAGCGACCTATGATGACTTCTGTTTTACCTCTGAAGAAACTGCAGCCTGCGCAGATTTGCTTTTGCTGAGAACTACCGAGTAATTTGCTGAAAGGCCTCTTCAGTGGAAACGGTACACAGGATCAGTCTAAACTGAGGACTCCTACACCAAACTCCGTGTGCTTTCCATTTGTAAAAACAAACCTTATTGAGGTTTAATTGGCTTTCTGTAAAAATGCACCCATTTTAAGCACGTAGTGCAATGAGTTTTGACGAATATACACGACTGCATGCCTATCACCATAGTGATGGTAGAGAATTTCCCCGTTATTCCCACAAAGCCATATGCCTCCTGACATTCGCTATTCCCATCCCTGGTCCTAGACAACCACTGATCTCTTGTCCCTCTATATTGTTTTCTTTTTTTCCTAAATTTTCATATGTGTGAAATCTCACAAAAAGAGTGCATACCCTTTTGCATCAGACTTCATCACACTCGCTCAGCAGGTTTTTGAGATTCATTATATTGTTCCAGGCATTTTGGGCTTGTTCCTTTTCACTGATGAGTAATATTCCATTTTATGAATGCACCATCTGGATGTTTGAGTTTTCAATTTGGTATTGTTATAAACAAAGGAGCTATGAACATTTGTGTACACATCTTTGTATGGTTATATATTTTTAGTTCTTGTGGGGGCAACTTTGAGGGCCATCTCTAGATTATCCGATAAGCATATGTTCCTATTATGAGAAGCTGCCAAAGCATTTTCCAAAGTGGTTGTATCATTCTCATCCAATCCTTTATCAAGGGAGGAGATATAGCATCTTTAAATATGAAGAAACTAAGGCTGGAGGATTGTGACTTGCTTATCTTCACATAGGACAACAGTGACAGAGTCTAGGCTGGGTAACAGGTCTTGTGGCTCCCAGGTCAGTGTTCTTTGACTACATTATCTTGAGTCAAAATCAAGTGGGAAGGTAGAATTTTCTGTTGCCACTGTCCTAAGCCCCCATGGACTCCTTGACCAAAGGAGCAATTGTTGTCTTCTCTGTGATATCCAGGCTCCCCGGCTGCAATGAAACAATTCTTGCACAATTTCAAGTGCCTGGAATTAACTTATTTAGATGGCCCTTAATGCAAACCAAGTTCAGGGTTCTTATTCTTTTTGATTAAACAGTGCAGCAAGCAGAGGTTGTAACTACATTTCTAATAATTGCAGACAAGGGCCTGCTCTGTCCCAGAATATAATTAACACCAGCTTTCTTCTCATCTGCTCATTAATGCCAGCCTTGGTGAGGGGCCTGCTACTTGGTAGCAAGATAGGCTTTTTATGGCCTTTAATCTTGTTTTCCTAAGAGCACATAATGTCCTTACACAACAAAGAGAAGCCAACCCCCAACCCCTCCTCTGAGAGTAATGATGTATAAATTATTAATCCATTTGGAAATGATGGCTTTCAATTATCTTAATCTGGTTGAAGATGGACCTTCCCCGGCCATTGATTGCAATGGTAAGCATTTCCAGGCTGACACATAGACATGTGTCAATTTGGGATCTTAGTGTATAGACCTGGACTCGCCTCAAACCTGAGCCTCCAGTTACTCTACAACATGGTGTGAATGTATATGTAACTTTATTGGCAGTACCCCCTCCCCCCCAAAAAATGAGACACACACATACACCCCCTCTGCAGACTGACTCCTGTCATAACTGATGCTGACCCAATTTCCAACTCATGTGGATTTCGCTCTGCTGGACATGACCTTGCTGGCTGAATACTGGGCTCTGAGCTCAGGGCAGTGTTACTTGGCTCCCGCTGGGGAAGAAGGGAGCCTGTGATTCTTTTGGGCTGTGAATCACCTTTAACTGTGCCCGATGCATACACACCCGGATCCAGTAAAATGACAGCAAGCGAACAGAAAACCCAGCAGATTATCCCTAGAGTCAGCAGAAAGCTGATATGACAAATTCTTATCCTGGCACTTTTTACAGTTCAAAGGAGTTCTAATAAGAAGGGGGGAAAAATCCTTGTATATGCTTGGGGACAAGTCATAATTTTTGCTACCTTGGGCGGTAGTACCCCCACCTAAAGATAAAGTATAATACTGTCCTCCAAGATGCCCAGAAACTTTTTACATTTGTCCCCTGCTTTGACTTCCCCCTTGGCTTAGAAGGCTGGGCTTTCCCCCAACTTTACATCTAAAGGCAGAGAGGCCCGGAAAGCCAGACCCCAGGGAATCAGGGGGTCAGCTGGCTAGAGCCAGGCCCTCGGTCCAGAGCCTGCACGCCTCTGCCAACATGCCTCGGTAGCAGGAACCCCTTGAGGACCACAAAAACCTGGGGAACCCAAAGGGAAGGCCGAAGCCATATCCTACATCGGGGGGCAGGTTATGACAGGGGCATATTCATGGGCACAGGGAGGTACTTCATCCTCCCTTCGTCATTCCTGGGTCCCTGAGTAGGATTGGATTTAGGTGGTTGTTTTTCTTTCTTTCTTTCTTTTTCCCCCTGCCAGAAAGCACAGAGTGGGAAATTTCCCTGAGATAGTGGGAAAGTAGAGAATTTCTCTGAGATACGATAATGGTCCCTGTTGTACTGTCAGATCAAACACAAAAGCCACAAGGAGGAAACAGAGGGGCCAATTAGAAACCTCTGTGACAATTCAGCAGCTCTTAGCTGCTCTCAACCTTAGCTGTCCTGACCTTGAGAGGGAGGGAGGGAGGGAGGGACAGATATAGGACAGGGACAAATATCTACATTTCCATTTACTTCATTGCCATCAGGGCCACTGAGAATCTTCTCAAACCTCATTCTAAACCATCTCTAATCCTTTGGTCTTCTCAGCATCTCTGTCTACCATACTGTACCAGGCACTATGTGAGATGCCAAAGTCAAAGATATAAGCCAAGGAGCTCACAGTCCCCTTTTTTTCTCCAGAAATAAGATCTCCTAGGGAAGAGATAAATTCTACCAATTTCTGTGGTTCATGGTGGACTACATACAGCATTATAGGCCAAGAGTCCTTGCTGATGGGTTGTTTGGCTTTGAGGAAATCACCCTCGATCACCTGCACATGGCAAGGTGGAACTGTGAACATGGCCAAGTGAACGTTCTAGAACTACCCTGTCTAACATGGTGGTCACAAGCCAAGTTTGGCTATTTAAATTTGTATCATTTAAATTCCAAAAAGTTCAGTTCCTCTGTTGCACTAGACATATTTCAAGTGCTGCCTAGGCCATATCTGCAGGTGGAACATTTCCATGGCACAGAGTTCTACTGGACAGCTCTATTCTAGAATCCTTGAGTTAGGCAGGGTTCCCCAAGCTACAGAGCAGTTTCCATTCCCCCACACCTTGTCACATGGACAGCCTCCTCTAAAGTTATGTTGATCTGGCAGGTGACCTTGTAGAGAACTAGGGCTGCCCCCACACCTGTCTGAAGTGGGTGTCATACTACCTTCCCCTCTGTGGAGCCCCATCCTTCTCTATCCTTCAAGATCCAACTTAGGTGCCCTTTCTTCTTTCCTTAATTTCCCCATCCCTCCTCTTCTATGCACAGATGTTCTTGCATTTATAGCACAAGCCCAAGCTGATTTAATGCTGTCCCAAAAGGTGTACAGAAGAATGCTCAGTGCAGGTGGCATGTGGGGACTGAGATGCAGTGCACCCTCCACTCTCCAAGCTGTAGGCCTTGGCTTGGGTGTGTCTGTTCCTTGGAGGAAGAGTCCTTTCTCTAATGTGCATGGAAGCATTCTATAGGCTAGTGGCTGCCTTGGTTTTCTAATGACTTGAAGGCATGCTATTATGTGCCACACAAGATGGCAGCTATAGGAAGGAAGTGACCCAGTCTTCTGTCTCATCAGTCACACCCCACTGAAGGCCAGATTCTACCAACACAGGGATGTCCCATGGGGCCCTCTTAGAACTTACAGTTCTGGTGACTTTTGGTCATGTTCTCTGAGTCCAGTGCATGGTAGAATTCATAGGCTGAGCGGCCAAGCAGCTCCTCGGGGTGGTAACCAATCAGTTCTGTGATTCTGAATGTTAAAAGAAAAACAAAAAAGCATGTGAGGAAGAAAAACCACATGAACTTCACATAGCATGTGAGCAGGGGCTCAAGAAGTTAAACCCAGAAGATGAAATAAAAGGTGAATATAACTTGGACTTCCTGGTCACACTGTTTATTCAAGCAACCATCATGTTCAAGCTGCAATTGTGGGTCTAGCCAAACCCCTGCTGTTCTGCTCTTCCTGAGGTCATTCTGTGGGGGAAGAATAGCACCCCTGCCCCCGCCATACACACACAAGAACCACTGAAGGGGCTCACACCCCCACTCCACAAGTTTTCAGATAAAGGAATGGAGACAGAGGACGGCAGACAATTTGCTTGATGTCCAACAAGTGTCCAGGGACAGAGCCAAAGTGAAAGCCGAGGCTCCTGATTACTAGCTCAAGCTCATTCTAGTAGAGGGTGATCCACTTGCAAAGTGGAAATTCTGTGGGCCCAAGTGGGGAAACAGCAGTGTTGGTCTCTGTGCTGAGCACAGAGAAAGGAGGAGTCCGGAGCCCATCTGCACTAAAACCTCAGGGCCTGGATGCTTCTTCTCAGGAGCTGCCCATGGCCTCAGGCATTCTGTGTCTACCTTCCTCAGCTGCTTCTACCGGTCTCTCCCTCTCCCTAAGAAGGGAAGGGGGGCAGGGGAAGTTGGGAGGAAGAAACCGGAAGCCAGGTGGAGAAGTGCACCTCCTTGCTACCCTCCCTGAAAAACAGGAGGCTCTGAAGGGTGCAGCTGTCCCAAAGGCCCGTGCCTTCCTTCTGTTGGGAGTCTGATTTGGGTGGAAGTAGGCAGAGAAAAGACACAACGTGGAGAACCATGAAGAATCACTTTACCCCCTTGGATCTGTGCTGGAATCATCAGAATCAACAAAGCCCTGCCTAAGAGCCACCATGTTCTTGGGCTGATCCCTCTCCCGTGTCACACCAAAATTATTTTTCACAATCTTTGTTATCTCACACATTTCCCCCCTCATTCTCCTGTTTACCTGGCCTATCACAAATTAGAAGTGCTGCTTGAGGCTTGTCATGATGAGCTGCTTCAGACGCATGACCTCTAGGTATCAGAGGATGCCCATTGGCATCCATACGGGAATGTAGAACAGGAAGAGGGAGACAGGAAACAGGAAGCAGAGTGGAATCTTAGCATAGGTGGGCTCCCCTTCCCTGGCTCTTCCTCACTCCTGGTTAACACAGAGACAAAGACTGCTGTTTCCCCACTTGGGCCCATGGAATTTCCACTTTGCATGTGGATTACCCTCTACCGGAATGACCTTGAGCTACAAACTGGGTGACCTGCACACTCAATTCCCCTAAAATAATCTTTCCCTCCTGCATCCCCTTAGTTAAGCACCCACAGAGTTCCATGTTGCCAACCACAGCAAGAGTCAACTGCCTGACTTCCAACATCCCCCACCCAAATCCAGTCTCCATCTTCCAAACAACTTGATTTTCAACTAATCTGCAGTATGCCATTGTGCCATGTGCTCTCTGTTTTGGTGGCCCTGCTGTCACACTTCCCCAGCCCTGGCAAACTCATTCCTGCCGCTAGGCTTTTAGGCCTCTTCTCCTCCAGTTTTTCCAAGTCCTGACTTTTGCATGGCCAGATCAAGAACCTCACCTTCTCCATAGAGCCCTCTCCAACTCCTCCAGCCCTCATGACTGTCTCCTCAGTAAGTCCTAAAGGGCATGCAATGTCACCAAGAGCGTGCATTTGACTCTTCATATCCTTCTCTGTCAGTCCCTGAACTCAAGGGTCACCTTCTCCTTTTGCCTCCCCTACAATGGAAGCCTAGTAAGTACTTTAGCACCTGGCCAGCAGACCATTTTTCTCTAAGGTGCAGCCGAAGCCTGTCTCTCCCAGCACTGCTAGGAACCTGGCACTAAGCATCTACTTTTCTTCTTTAAGCAGGATTAACAGCATCAACATGTCCTGGTGCATGCACACACAGCCTGCAGCAACCCTCAGGACATCCAATCCATCTTTTCTCCGCTCTGTAAGGTGTCTGGAATTAATGTGAGCAGCAAAGAGGCAAGTTGTCTGCTGGGATGAGACTTGGGAAGTGAGAGCCTTTCACACAGTGGGAAGCTCATCTGGGCTGAGAGGCTCAGGTCTCAGCTCATCGCCCAGCAGTAGTTTCTCCAGTGAGACTCCAGCTGCCCCTTATACCAGGCAGCTGGTCTCACAGCAGGAGGATCTGTCCCCTCACTTAGCTCAGACTAAAGAGGTCTCTGAGCTCACTGGCAATGACTTGTTTGCTGAAGCTGACCCTGGGGGGCAGCACTCAAGGGCACCTTGGCTTGGTGATGACGAAAGGAGAATAAGGTGGTAGAAAGGTGCTGGCCCTACAACCAAACAGCTTGTCTTTTGAGTCAAATGCATCTCAGGCTTAGCCTGAGAACTGAAACCATTCTGGTGGCCCTGCTAACAACAGCTGGCCATTTACAGGCTCACTGATTTTCCAGATAAGCTGCTCCCATTCCTGGGCAGGTCTAGAATTTTCTAGAGACCCTCAATAATGAGTCTACAGGCATTCTAGGAAAGATATGATTCTATTTCCTGGAGGAATTAAATTTCCTTTCAAGATTAGAATCTTTTAATTAAAAATGTTCAAAGTAAATATTATAATCAGCTTCATAAGATGTTTTTCTAATCTAATTAACGTAACATCCATTGAAAGGCACACACACACACACACACAATGGGCATGTTTTAGAAGTGGACAAACAAACCTAGATTTCAAAATTGCCAGATATCTTCTTCCTAGCAGCTGTCATTTATCTTGTCAACTAAAATAAATATTTAATGTCTCTTTCTTCATTCCTTTAAACAGACTACTGTAAAAACTGGGAAATACACATATCCCGAACACAATTGAAGAACGTTCGAGTTGTCAGGCTTTACAAAGCCAGGAAACCCCAACTTAAAGCTAATGGTCATTTGCCCCCAACTGCAGGCACGTCGACGCCGGGCGGGAAGGTTAATGAACCGAGCTTGTTTATAGGATTGGCTACTGCAGTACACAGGGGCCTTCCCCGCTCATTTCCCGGGGCTCCGGACACACCACCAGAGCAGGGCTGTGATAACAGTTTCATCTGCAATCTCCATCAGGGCAGGGAACCTTTTTTTTTTTTTTTTTCTCCTTCTTCCTAATTAAGGATGCTTAACTCACAGGGAAAAAAAAATCAGTTTGAGTTCATCCACAAGTTTCAAAGTCAACTCAGTAGGATGGCTCTACTTTAAGGAAACAGAGCTCTCAAGGCCTTAATTCCCTAGATTTCAACAATAAGGAAATTATAAGGACGGTGAGTGCCCTTTCATCATAAAGTAGGCCAAAGACTCAGTGAGGGGAGATGTAGACAAAGAAGACAGCCACACTGAGACAGGAGAAGGAAAAGAGAAAATAGGAAATATGGAGACAAAAGGGCGGTTCAGTTCTGAAGTTACTGTTCCCCAAGTAAAGGAGGGGGCCAGGCCACTCCTGAGTGAGAAGTGCCTGTCAGTGGGAACAGAGTCATTCATGGTCCCTCAACTGCTCTTCTTCCTTAAAAAATGTCCAGAAGCTCCGTTCAAAATGGACAATCTGTAGCTGAGGAAGAGGGAGGAGATTATTTTCTGAGTGCCATCACCTCAAGAGACAGAAGAAGTCCAGCCACAGGCTGTGAGGGCTCGTTCTCCTCCCCAGCCGGTGACCTCCATGGCCTGTCCATGTGGTGTGGCAGTCAAACTGCTTGGCTTCAGATGCCGCTGCCTGTAGGCAACCAAGGTCAGGCCACAGCTTTTACCCCTGTCCCCTACACAGGGAAGGCTCTGCTAGTAAACTAAGCATCTAAACAAGATGACTAGAGAGTATTTCAATTATTTAAGAGGACAAAAGTTTTAAGTGCTTTATAACTACCTATTTTCCAGAGAATGCATTTGCCAATAAATACTGATATTAAATTCTTCCCTGTCCTTCCATCCTTCTGGAAATGTGTGGTGTGAACATTTTAGTCTCTATACACACTTATAAGCGTTGACACTGCATTTCCTTAGTAATATCTAGATTATTCTTTTTTAAAAATTTTTATTATTAGTTGTTCAAAACATTACATAGTTCTTAACATATCATATTTCATACATTTGATTCAAGTGGGTTATGAACTCCCATTTTTACCCCGTATACAGATTGCAGAATCATATCGGTTACACATCCACATTTTTACATATTGCCATACTAGTGTCTGTTGTGTTCTGCTGCCCTTCCTATCCTCTACTATCCCCCCTCCCCTCCCCTCCCCTCCCATCTTCTCTCTCTACCCCATCTACTGTAATTCATTTCTCCCCCTTGTTTTTTTTCCCTTTCCCCTCACTTCCTCTTATATGTAATTTTATCTAGATTATTCATTAGCTCAGATTTCAAAGCCTGTTTGTATTAATAAATTTTACCCAGATTTTGTTTGCTTTAAATGATAGTCCTAAACCTTTTGTTTTCCTCAAATATTGCCTCAGTTATATGAATTCTATGCAGTTAATGGAAAGTCAGTTTTTCTTTATTATATCAGGTGTGATGGGTCACAGGGGGTTACATGGGGTGAATTTATACACAGGGAAGTAGCCCTGGCTCAGTCCGGGACTGATCCTGCCCTGAGTGCCAACAAATGCCATGGCTGTCTGTCATTATCCCAAAACCTATGAACAGTAAGAGGAAATTTGCTTTGAACTATGAAAAGTGAGAAGCATATCATACAGAAGGAATAATTTTTGAATTGAGAGGTCCATTAAACTTTGAGATAACTTCCAAAGAGAATTTATAGAGTTGCCTCTTCTAGGGAGTATTTCATGCTGCCTAGATGAGACAGAATAATATAAAAGCATTTCTTATTCAAACTCTGCTAGTTCCAGAAAGTCAGCCGAGCAGACACAGATGTACCTGGAGAGCATTTGATATTCCCTCTACCTTAGGGCCTAAAGAAGCACACTACACGGTCTTACTTAAAATATTCAGAAAATAGCTAAGGAATAAGAATGCAAGAATACTTAGAAGAGACTACATAGGAAAATAAAATACATGTAATACATTACTTTGAAAGATCACCTTGAATTTAATATGGCACCCACCCTCTAAAAAGTAGCAAAATTATTTATTAAATGTACTCACTAAACAATGAAAGAATATTATCTTTTACTATTAATTTGCACAAAGTCAGACTATTTTATTCTCAGACTTCAAACTACTTTCCAGCTATCTTGATATATGGTATAATATTCTTTATTGATATTCTTCTATGATCCTCTATTCTTCCCTCACTTTCGCTATCTTCATTATTCCTGAATTTGTATAAAATGAATTCATCATAAGACTTATCCAAATCCACAGGACTTAGAATGCATTCATTTGAACTCTTCCCACTGTGACTCCTGGTTTTATTACATCCTATACTGACTTAATCCATCGACAAAACAGGGTTGTCCTCAAATTCTCTATCTGTAAAGATTAAAAGACCCTCTTTATTAACTTGAAATTTTAACTGTAATTTTTATACTTATCCTTCCAGTGACACTGGATCCTTTGTACGTAATTCTGTTTTATAATTTATTTCTAAGCTACAAGAAGACTCACAGAACTCACAAAAATCACAGTCTCCTTGGTGAGTGGCTCCATGTCCTTCACAGTTACTCTCTTTTGCCACTAGATGGCATCTCCATGAGAATTTTAAGAACTCACCCCATTTTAAAGTTAAATTACTTGGAAACAATTTTGTCTTTCTTTTAGGTGAGTGGATGTTTTAGGTGAGTGGGATGTTTCATTTTATACCTCTCACTTTGGTTTCATTAAGTTGCTTCTCTCTCAAACTCTAAACTCTTGGAAATCGGGAATAATCTCTACTACTTCTTGGATATAATAGTCTCTTGAACAGGGTTAGATACAAAGCAGATGCTCAATAAATAGCAGTTCATGAATTGGTTACTCGGTATTTTAGGAAAGAGTGTAATATTTACAGTTGAGTCATGATTATACTTATAATCAAGACATTGTTTTTTCTTTAACTCACTATGCAACTTGAGTCCCCTTGTCTAGAGCAATAGATCATAAATAAGTAGAGTGTCTCTAATCAGAAAATCTGAAATCCAAACGGTGACAATGTGATATTCAAAAGTTTCAGATTTCAGAAAATTTTGGATTTTCAAATGAGGAATGCTCAACCATTAAAGTCTTTGCAAACATTCCAAAATCTAAAAATCTCCAAAATCTGAAATACTTTTGGTCCCATGAATTTCAGATAAGGGATACTTAATCTGAATGCATAAATGTGACTGACATATAAGTTGTTTTAGACTTTTAAATATATTTGCTATAACTCAAATAATTAATGCAAGACTTCATATAGCTCTCTGACCCTTTATTAAGGGGAGGGCAAATGCACTTTGAATCATCTACACGCCTTTGTTCAGTATCAGACATTTCAGAATAGACTCTTACTGGTCCAATTCATTTTGGAAACCTGAGAGTTCAACACAAGATCAGAGTCCTCTCTCTTCTCTCTCTTTTGTTTTTAAATTTAATTTTCTCCCCTTTCCCCCTCTGTTCTCTCTTCTCTTTTTCTATTTGACTCCTTTCTTTTGGTTTGTTTCTGTCTGTGGTCTCATTACATCTAGGTAAAGTGTCAAACCGCCTCAAAAGTGATTTTGTGGATTTGAACTGCTTGACTTTCTTCAAATTCTTGTTCACTTTCCTTATGGGAAAACAATCCCCTTTGGGGGAAATCATATCCCCTCCTGTGTCAGAGGTCATTAAACTAAGTTAATTCTCTGATGCAAATGGAGCCCTGTCCCCCATTCACAGTCGTATGTAGGTGTTGGTATTTTAAACATCTGTCTCACAAGGGTGTGTGCGTGTACATGCACTTCTCCCCATCCCAATGCAAAAGTGAAAACAAAACAAAACAACAAAAACTCAAGTCCTCATCAAAGCAATTGAGAAATAACACTTAGGGATTAAGGACTTAAAATAGTCACTTCATAAACTGTCTAAGCCTTGTCCGTGCCCTTGTTAACTAATCTGCTAATCGGTTAAACACAACTTCTGTGTGGCACAGCATTCTGTATGTTTATATGCTTCTACATTCTTCTTTGCAGCACCACTGAATTCAGAGTTGAGGCCATGTAATTAGGTTCCTTGAAAGGCAAGATTTTGCTGAAAATGCAAAGTATCCTACAGAACTTAGAAGTGACATCTCTCTCCACAGTATGAGTCACAAAGCCCTAAATGACAGGTTCCTTTAAGCCAGTATCTACTCTGCCCACCAGTCCTAAACCAAACTGAGATGTCTGGCCTGGTGTGTCTCCCCTCTGTGTATGTTTCCCCTTCAACAGTTTTAGGCACCCAACTTCTTGTGTTTTGTTCCCTCTTTTTAATCCAAAGGTTAATGCTTTTAGAAAATTACCTGAAACTCATTCAAACCAAGACAAGGAGTAATGGATTAACACTGAATTATCCTTTTTAGGGGATTTTTCCTCCCTCACTTTAGCAAGAACATAGTCTTGAGCCTTTTTTTTTTTTTTAAAAATTATCTTTTTGCTATTATCTAGGGATGGCAGCTTGTTTTCTAGGACAGTCGGGTTTTCCCTGCAGTTTAGAGTTGCATGATGACTGTGCTTCACATACAAGGGCCACCTCCAGGGTTCATCATCTCCAGCTTTGTGGTTGCTCCTGAGCTATATGGCTGAGGTATCCTGAGCACCACTTCACCTCAAAGTAATGACATGTGGACTGGGCACTGGGATTTCCCATGTCAACTCAGAAGACCATCGAGGCAAGAACTGCATCTGATAAATACCTTACCCAGAGCACGGATTCCTCTCATGCCTGCCTTTTGAGCAGTCTTCTCTCCAATCATTATTATCACCAACATTTTTTGTCCTCACAACTGTAGCAGCAGCAACACTATCAATAAATGCCGCCTTGATGACATTGCAGGACAAAAAGCCTTCAGACATGTCTATTTCTCCCTATGAGGTGGGAGCTCTTTTTTCTACTTATATAACTATCTACTGCCGCCCAGAGCTTTGAGTCCTGGCCCAATTATGGTAAGAACTGAGAGTACAGGAATGCCTCAAGGATACTTTTACAAAAATTCTGAAATTATGCCACAAGTGGAGGTCAATCTCAAGGAGGAAGAGCCAACAACCAATACCAAGTCCTTCCAGAATCAGAGGAGAAAGACTCGGCCTAATCTGGAGAGCAGGGCCACACCTATGAAGAAACCAGATGCCCTGGGATGCCTAGCTGACAAAAGAAAGGGGCAGAGGGGTGGGGGGAGGCTGGGTAGGAGCTCCCTTCCTGGGACTGGTGGTTGTTTCCTGCTGGTGGGGAAGACATGACAGTCTTTTGCTGGTGGTCTCTTCTTCCTCAGCTGGGCCCTGGGCCTTCCGAAGTGACCTTGACTCCTTGGGTTTAAGGGGAAGATTTTGCTCTGGGGACACCAAGGGCAGAAGCAAGACATATGCAATAACAAGAAGGCTCACAAGTGTGTTATAGTGCTGTGCTTTCCCAGGCTTCCACGTTACCTCATCCTACAATGACCCTGGGGAACAGGCTAGGAAAGTATTATCTCCATTTCAGGGGAGTGGTACAGAGTTTGGGATGGTAAAGTGTTGATTCTGGATACTGCCGAAAGCTGAGGTTGGGCTGGGGGAGCTCTTCCCTGAAGGATACTTCTGGGGTATGCTAGTCAGCAAGACACGGCAGCATTCACTTGAGCCAGGCCTGCCCCAGGCCCAGTCCCTTTTCTAGGTTTCTCCTGCCCCACTCCTGGTGCTGGCTACTGCCCATCACCTCTGACCTTCCTGTCTTCCTTCTTTACCTCCTGACTACCAGGCCTCAAAGTCACAGAGGCAGGACAGTAGAAGTTAGGAGCTATGGTGGGGTTCAGACTCCCACTCATGACAACCCTGGCCTCTTCTCCACTGTGTTAACCCTCAGCTTGGAGTGGGAACTAGAGATGACACAGCTTCCCTGTGCAGTCTTAGGTGCTCTCTCAACAACTTCAGTAAAGGTTAGAATAAGAGCTACTGCTGAATCAGGCCAACCAGCCTGATTCCATGCTCTTAACCACTACTGTGCTCCTGAGAGAATTTCATCGGGCCTGGAATTGGGGTGAGAATCTGGCTTAGCTCCTCTAATCTAGAAGCCTTCAGAACTAGGCTAGATGGTGGCTGCTGCACATGGGAGGGGTAAAGGCGGAGGGAAAAGTTCAGTTAGTTATGGAAGAGAATGAGGGGAAACCAGCCAACCACGGTCAACTTCAAGGGCCAGAACCCGAGGCCCCTGGCTGGCCTCTGAATTGAGAGAATTAATAGAAATCTCTAGACCCCTTTCTTCTGGAGCAGAAGAGTGCCTTGGAGTTTCCTCAGGAGCCTGACATGTATGTGGACAAATATGTGCACACCACCACGATGACAAGTCACATTCCAGAACAACTCTGCAGAAGAATCCTGAGGCTGTGTCAATGGGAGACTTTCAAATACAGTTCTAGGAAGCTCTGAGGACTACTGACGGAAGGAAATACAACACAGGCCTACAAACTTGCACCCAGCAAAACATGGTTTATGCCCCATTCCCATCCCTTCTCTACAGGTATAATCACAAAAAAGGGTGGGTAAGTCCCACCCCTTCCCACAGTATACACATCATACCTGTCATCGCAGTAGGTGAACTTCATGTCCATGCTGTGGCGGCTCAGGAAGGTCTTGCTGTCCAGGGGGATGTCCATGTGGGATGGGTGCTGGATGGGTTCACACATGACGATGAGGCAGGACAGCAGAGGCTCCTTGTAGCCGCAGAGACTACTGTGAGGGGGACAGTTGTTGTAGACTTTCACCTGGCCAGTGCAGTGCAAGACCTGGGGACCAGCAACAGAGGTCAGCTGTGGGGCTGAGAGTCTGGAGTGGAGCGCAGGGCTTTAGGTATCCACCCTCTGCCCACACCTAGGACTCCAGCCCAGGCCTGGTGGTGTCCTACCTTCCAGGTGGCTGACTTGAGGTTGACGGTGCGGCCTCTGTTGGTGACCGTGCACTTCATCCTCATGAAGAAGTCCCGCTCTGTGGACATATCTTTGCTTTTCTTTCCAAAACCAGAACCTGAATGGAGAAGGGTCAGGGAACCAGTTGCATAAGTTTTACATTTACATTACCAAAGGCCCGGCTGTCATTTTTCTGGGCCACTTTTTTCTTCTATCTCCCAAGTATCTGTACTTGCGGCACTTGCCGCTCACCACAGCCACTGAGCCCCATCATGGCCTGTGGGCGAATGGTCTCCCATCTCCAGACTGTCTCCTCAACTGGAGCATGACCCCTGGAAGGTAGGAGCTGTCCCACTCCATCCCACTACACCTAGGCAGGTCAACTGTCACATAACAGCGGAGAGACAATGAGTGACTATGGCCACAGTCTCAGCCGACTTCTGGGTCAGGCCAAGGAGCTCCAATAGGAAGTCTAGGGTTCAGCTGGGAGGGACCACAAGGGTATAAGTCTCTTTAGGTAGGACTTTCCTCAAGACACTCCTGTCCTTTCTTTATAATCTCTCAGGAATTGGAACAACGTGTAATAGCTACATGCAGAATTATATGCCACTAGCTTTTTTTCCTAAAGTGACATGTATCAAGTCTCAAGAGACCTCTGGTCTAACTCTTCTGGGATTGGGTGAGCAAGTCCACTTTGAAGCTGGGGACACATTCTCTCTCAGTTAGAATTAAATAAATCACTAAGTCCAAAAGCATAGCCTCCTTCCTCCCTCATAGACTCCAAATAGCCTATTTTCTTTCTTCTCCTTCTCTTTCTTTTTTGTTAAACACAGTAGTAAATGCAGTGCCAGCCAAGTCTTTCTTGTCTCTATATAAATTATGTCTATACCATCACCTCCATCCTGGGCCTTCTCCAGGGAAGAAGCATACTCCTTCCTTCTGCCCAGCATCACAGAACAATCTAGAGCCTTGCTTAAAATAGTTACATCCCTCCCTCCAGGCAAAGACACCAGCCTCTGCACCTACACCACCAGAGGACCATAATTTATTTGACTGACACATTCCCGAAGAATTGTGTGTCAGATGAATTGTGAGGCACTCTTGAGCTGAATGCATCCTTTGGGGCGCCCAGTAGAAACAGACAAAATGGCGAATCTTTGTTGTTGTTTTAAAGAGAGAATATTCCTCCACCATAATAAAACCATCTCTATGCTTCTTACAATTTTAGTTTTTAGAGGCAGTTTTGCAGATAATATGATAAACCTCCTTGGGGGCTGGGACCCACCACCAGGAGTTAGGGTTGAGGGGGCTGGAGAGACTCATTTACGACTATTTGCTTGGGTTATGATGTGGACTCCTAACCTGTTAATTTCTGAATTCTTATTCTGATATTTGGTTATTTTTTTTTCCCTAAATAGAGTTCTAAGAAAATCACTCCATCCCTACTCCAAAACCTTCAAGATCTACCCACTGTCTGCAGGATAAAGTTCAAGGCCTCTACTGGCCTTCAAAGCCTTCCACAATCTGCCTCATGTCTTATCTTCCTTTAGGAACTCATACTAACCCCTTGCTTCCAGAGCATGAGTCCACTCAGAGGTCGGCAACTTTAGTGAGAATTTGCTGACTCGCCAAGTTTGATTCCAAGTTCCCAATCATAGACCAAAAGATGTAAAGTTCTATTCAGATAACTAGAGGTCACTTGGCTGTGAGTCATAGCACTTGAGAACTGGAAGGTCCTACACTTGGCCTTATCTAATGCTGTCAGTTTGAAAACAAAGACTCTGAGGAACATAGAAGTGAGGTACTTAGTTCAGGTCACAGAGTCAAACTGAGATTACCGTCAGTGGTTGAACTGAGATCAGAAACTCAGGGGCAAGTGGGTTTCTGGAGTAGAGGAGAGAGACAGTCCCACCCCCACAGAGCTGACTGTTCCATAAAGCACAGACTTTCTCAGCAGCAGACAAGACCTTCAGCAACCACAGGATGCCCCCAACCTGAGTCCTGGAGGCTTTGAGTTAGGAACAGAGGGGCTGGGTGAAAGGTCAGGAGTGGCAGTAGAAGGAGAGGCTGTTGTGATCCTGCATTCAGGTGACCCAGTCAAGTGTCCCTTCTGCAGCAAGTGCGGCAACAAGAGCAAAACCGTGCAGGCTTGCCACCTGTCATTCAGGTCAGACAGGCAACACCCATGGCAAAGGCAGGTGATCGACATTAAAGAGGATTTCTAGATGTAGGCAGAGTCTGCCCAGATCAGTGGTAGGTAGATTCTCAGCTTCAGAAGGGATCTTGATGGACACGGAACCCCACTGCTGCCCAAAGCTTCAGTCCTCTTGATGACACTCATGCCTTTTCTTGAACGTCCCAGTTATAACAATGAAGCCTCACTGTCATTATAAAGTGCCTTTTGCCTGTGAGGATCCTTGTGTTCACTGGTATCTGCTAGATACTCCCACAGACAGAGTCCAGTATATTAGACCTTTGAAAGTTCCCTCTCCTGCCCTATGTCTCATCACCAGAGGGCCAGGTTCATGCTGTGGCTGCTGTGGTAGCTAGTCTCCAATGGTGGCCCCAGTGAGCTAGGCCTCCTACACTCATGGCCTTGTGTATGGGTTCCTCCCACACCATATCAGGACTGTCTGTACCTTGCTCTAACCAGCAAAATGGGGCAGTAGTGCTGCTGTGCCAGTTTCAGGACTTGACCTTGGGAAGCCCTTGCAGCTTCTACTTTTGCTCTTTTGGGAGCTGTGAGCTTCCAGGTAAGATGGCCACCCTGAAGACTCCACGTGGAGAGGGAGAGGCCCTGAGAGCCATGAAGTGGGAGAGAGAGGTCCAGTCACCTACCTTGCCAGCCAACTGCCTCAGGCCCCACGCCTATGGGTGAGCCATCTTGCTCTATCAACCCAGCCTAGTCCAGCCCCCAATGACTGCACCCAGCTGATATCATGGGGAGTAGGAGACCTGCCCACAGAACCCACAAATGTGAGAGCATGAGTGATTGCTTAAAGTCCATGTTTGGGGTAGTATGAAGGACAACAGCTCTTCTGGGCACTTTGGCACAGGTGAGCTTATTGGTTTGAGTGGTGTCATTTGGTAGAGGCGCTTGACCCTTAGGTGATGAAATCTCCTGGAGATAGTGTGCTAACCCAAAGGAGGGCCCTGGAAATGTGAGATCAGGCATCACATGGGGCCCACAGGAGTATTTCTGAGTATTGGATCCTTTTAGTGCCCTTAATCTCACCTCACAGGCTACCAGCCTATATGGTGGGTTGGGCCAGCTGGGGGTTTTGATGGATGTCAGCTTTTTTTTCCTGGCCATTACTGTGGCCAAGAGCCATCTTTCCTCTGCTTTTAGACAAAGGGAAGGCAGATCCCCTCCTGGGGGGCGGGGGAGGGGGCAAGAAGAGACACTTTACCAGTTTTGAGAGTCAGGTTCTCACGGATCTCCTCATGGTCACAGGGATGAGTAAAGTCAAAGATGCTGTGTCCTGTTAGCTCTACCTGTTTCAAAAACAAGGTTAGGTTTCATTATTCTCAACACTGAAGTGAAAGGCTCCAAGAGAATCTGAGCCATTGTGCAGATTTGGAGGCAGGGAGGAGATTGCATCAAGAAGTTCTTCTAGCCACCCCAGGTCAGTGTTAGGTCCACAGGTACATGGACTAGAAGAGGACTACTGACAGGGGCAGGGGCTTGATTCATGAGGGTTGAACTGAATTTAAACAGGAGAAAGCTGCCCATTAGGATGGCCACATGCAGTGCCAAACCCAATTCCAGTGGGTGGTACCGTGTTCCTGGGGTTTGTGGCCCGAGGCAGCGAGCATCAGAGTGGGCATGTGCAGGGAAAGGTCAAGTGATATTGTGACCTACAGCTTCCACTAATTTATCCCCCAAATAGAAATGTTTTCGCTTTCTGAAAGGGGTAGAGGAATTGGTCACCTGGGTGAGTCCCATGAACTTGCTGATGTTTTCTGATAGAAAGATCATGTCGCCATCTTGGGTCACCACAGCAATGAAGCCCTCCAAGGCTTTCAGGTACAAATTATCCATCTGCTGGTCAGCCTCGGCTTCAGACTCATTTTCAGAGCAAACTGGAAAGAGAGGGGACAGTTTACATGAATGTGGTGTTACAACAGATATGATGGATATCTGCCGGGATGGCTCAAGGACATTAGGGGGTCTCTTTTGGAAACAAAACTGACCACCCAACTGACCACCCAAGTGTCTGCCACATGCCTAAACAGCAGGCACTGGATGAGCACCACTACCCAGCACAATCTGCCAGGGACTTGGAGACAGTGTGCTATAATGACAGGGTACCTGGAGCACTAGTAGTACTGGCTGTGGCAATAGCTATCAATACAACAGTAGTCAAAACAGTAGGAACAGAAATTTTAGCTGCTGATGTATATTGAGCAGTTATTACATGTTAGGTACCGCGCTAAGCATTTTAGAGAGTCTTCATGGTAAAGGATGAGGCGGGTACTATTCTGATCTCATTTTACACATGAGGTTTAGAAAGGTTAAGCCATTTGCCCAAGGTTGGGAAGCTAGCAAGTTGCAGAATCCAGAAGTCACATTCAACCTTGAAGGCTCTGGAGTCAAATCAGTTTCTATTACTAGATCAACCTCCTATTTTGAGCAAATAACAACCTCTGTGAACATCAGTTTCCTCATCAGCAAAATGGAGACAATAATTTCCATCTCTTTGAATTTCTAAGAATGAAATAAATATGTAAAATGCCTAATATGATATCAATACTTGTGAATCTTTCTCCTATCTGCTTCTTCTAGAATATCATCACCACACTCAAATTGCTCCAAGTCTACATAGGGAATATATATAGCACACAGAGATACAAAGCTAAATAAAAATTCAAGGGTGTCATAGCTGGGTCCCAAGGAGGAGTGTAAACAGTAAATGCTCTAGGGGTCAGAGAAGGAGGGGGTTGCTTCAGGGAGACAAGAGACAACTGTTCCAAAGAAGGGGATTTGAGGAAACTCATGAAAAAGAGAGGTTTGATTCTGTACAATGGAAAGAGAAGGGCTTTCTGAGCTAGACAGGGTTGGACGGACACAGTAAAACAGAGCAAGCTCCCTCCCAGAATGGAGAAGAGGCTCATCTAGCTGAAGAAGAGGGTCCATGTCCCAGTCTCAGAGATTGGGCTGGTGAGATAAGTCTAGTGTCCTAGAGGGCCTCACTTTCCTGTCAAAGGAGTAGAGAAGAGGAAAATCAAAGCATTGCTTTGAGGAGATGAATGTGGTTATAGCATGCAGAATGGCTTGGAAAGAATGAAGCCTGCAGTATAAAACAGTGAGGAAGCATTAGGTAGTTGCTGGGGGCAGCCTGGGAAATCATCTACCCTGTATCATCCACTTTGTGTACCCTGGCTTATCTGCTCTCTGCAAAATGTAGACTGACTCAGCTCTTGCACCAGACTAGAACCGCTCTCAGACCTTAAGCCCCTTGTGGTTATCCACAGACAGAAGACTTTGTTTCGGCTACCCTTCTCCTAGTTCATTATTTAATTCCAAACATATTGTATTTATTAAAATTTATATTCATCTAGTACAAGCAAAATCCAAATATGCCTCACTTGATTTATAGAACAAGAGGATTAGAGAGTAATTTGTCACGGGTAGTAGTTAATACTCACTTAACTAATAGGAGTCTTTCAAATGGAGACTCTTTAAACGAGTGTGAAATGCAATTAGATTTACGAGCCACTTGGCAAGGAACACATCTCTCCTGTGCAGTGCTGACCTAGGGCCTTTCTGCAAGGCAATGGATTTAGTTAAATGTCTTTCCTCTTGCTCTGTAAGCTCTTAAACATAAGCTCAAGAAGAACAGATCCAAACTAGGAGATGTTCCTACCAAGGGACTACTGTGGTACCACGGAGGACCAGCTACCTTTCAGGACACACGATCAAAGAACATATACCAGAGTTCTAGATGCTGCCATTTCTGCAGGAAAACAGAGTGGGGCCTGTACAAGGCCAGATTGGTCTTCAGAGGCAAGAGTCAAGCTATATAAGGCATTATTCTGGTGGTCTTCCCTCTATTTGCCAGATTGGTGGGACGCAATGCTGGGGAATGCCATCAGTTCACACCCCAATGCAGGCAGCCAGCCCATGGAGGGAGGCCACACGGGAATGGCCTAGCTCCATCCACATGTCTATACTTAGTTCCCGCTCAGCATCTCTCTCGACATCTCTGTCCTTTGCCAGCTAACGAGTTGACTGCACCAGTGAGGATGTGCCATGTTCCAGGAGTGAGAGATATAGCTGCTATTGGAGTTCCCCCAGGTCACATCCATGTTTAAATAGAGGCTTTAGGAGGGACGGTGACATAACTCAGTGCGCACATCAGGACCACCTGGGGGGTTGGCTGAAACAAAGATTTCTGGGCCTGGGGCTGCTACATAATTTGTGAGGCCCAGTGCAAAGTAAAATATGGCACCTCGTGTTAAAAAATTAAGCCAATCTCAAGGCCCTTCCAAGTGCACAGCCCTCTAAGACTGAACAGGTTGCATACCCTTGAGGCTGGCCCAGAGGGGCCCTACACCCTGGGCTCCTGATTCCGCAGGTCTCAGGTGGGACTAGGAATGTGCTTCACTACCAAGTTCCAAGATAACAACATGCTGTTACCTCCAGGACCACATACTGAGGTCCATCACCCCAGTCAATGCCAGGCCCTGTAAGTGACCCTGATGTGGGGAAAAGCAGCCAGTGTTGGCAGGGGCTGACTGATGTGGGGAATGAGTGAGGAGAGGTTTTTAACACACTGAGGTCACACCTGATAGATGGCCACCTTCTCCAGACTGCCAGAGGCCAGCCCTGTGGTTTTTTGGCCTACAGAGAAGATATTTTCTCTTTAATTTCTTTGATCTCAGTGGTAATACTGACTTCAAAATCTGGAGTGATCCCAAGACAACTTATTTGGGCTAACTAGGCCCAGAGGAAATAGTTCTGCTTAAAATTTCCTGTTTTTAACAGTTCCACTGCAGCCAAGCTGGTCTCCATCGTGCCCAGTGCACTTGCTTCCAGGAGGTGGCGAAATTGGCTTCGGCAGTGGTCCCCTGGCCTTATGAGGGAAGAAGGGAGAGGGTGCTCTGGGGCCACGAAGGGAAACAGATCATCTTGGAACTGAAATCACAATGGCTGGAGGGCCAGGAAGCCAGCAGGCTGGCCCTGGGGGAACCTGGGGCACAGCAGGGCTTGGGTGGGGCCTCTTCCTTCTGTGGAACTATTTGCTCTCATGGCACCTGCTCATTCTCCTGGGAGCTTCTGAGGGAACCTGGCTAGGTCACTCCCAGCCTGGAGCTGGGAAGCAGATCCTTGCCCAAGGGCCAGGAGGCTCCTGCACAAGACTCCTCGGCCTTTGCCCGTGAACATCAAGTCTTTCCTGATGCAACAAGAATATTCTAGTAAATGTCAGGCAGGAGGAAAGATGAGCTGTCTGCCCTGTGCTAGGCACAAAGTCATCTGTCTACAAGTGTCACTGTGCACTCAGTCCTGTCCTTGAGAGAATCAGGACTACTCAGAGAGTAAGAGCAACACTGTCCCTCGAAGCCTCAGACAGTCAGCTGTAGAGTGACACAACAATGAAGAGTAAACTCTCAGTGCAAAATAAAGTAAGGAGCCCACAGCAGGGGCCAACTGGTTCTTTCAGTGGTCTTGGGTCCTAGGTCTCAGTGGCCTGTTTCCCAGGACCCTTCGGGAGCAGTAGTGTAAACGGCACTCTGCTGAGAGGGAGCATGCTCGGCCAGGGGAGCACAACAAGATTCTTTAATGCTAAAAATAGCCCCGGTAAACAGGCTTTGATGCCTCCCCACAGCCAGGATATGTGCAGGCTGAGGTTTCGGAGCACTTTTTCCGGAGCACCGCTCATTTCCTTCAGGCAGCCCCGCCCATGTGGGGAGGGACACCACGGGAGTCTGGCGTCTGGGGTGAGTGGGACAGGGTGGCAGAGCAGACACCACCTACCTTGGGCTCTGAGACTAGGCTGTCCCTGTGATGCTGCTGGTCAGGGTGCTGGCTACAATCTTACCCCAGGCGGGGGCACTTTTCCTCTGGGTTTTCTCCTCTGGGAAATTCCAGGACTGCTTTGAGAATTCCTAAACTGCTCTGGTACGGCCTTCCTGCTTCAGAAGTGCTTGGCACTTAGTTCCCATTGCAGGGTCTTTCCTTTCAAAGGTTTCACCTAAACTGGTTTCTCCCCTTCAATCCTCCCAGCACATAGAGCCATCAGGGTCCCCAGCTTATCCTGGGTGTGTGGATTGTAAATGCAGTGCCAATCAAGGCACAAGGAAATCACCTGCCAGATCCTCTGCCATTCCTTAGGCACTAACATGGGCAGGCTTGGGCCACTCATACCCTTTGACAGAAGGTGTGTGTCCCACCTGATCTTGCTGGGCTCCTAGTGAGCCCCAGAAATCCACCACTGGAGATTCCTGTCTTTGTTCTTTACATATCTGCTTATCCTATCTTCCCTCTATGTATATGACCTTCTATAAGATATAGCACAGGGTTGGGTTCAGCAAATACCTATGGTCCAACCAGACTTCTTTGGTTTAAGTTACAGGAATGATCTGAACAAGGTCAGTATTTCTAGAAGAGAATGTACATTAGCTGTTCTCTGCCATTAACATCCTCACATGAATCAGCTCATTGGCTTCCTTCCAAACAGGACAGAAAAAGGCCTTGATTTGGAGTGGGTGGGGCAGTAAAAAAGTAGGGGTGAAAGCCAGAGAAAACAAGTCTGAAAGTGGGGCATATGAGGGCACCAGAAGCTCTATCTGCCTCCACAGTTTTTCTCTATCCCACTTTTCCTGCATGGAAAGGTCATGGTTCCTTGGTTAAAATCACATGTCCCATATTTTAATGTCTTTCCCTTAGTGGTTGAGAGAGTGGGAAATCATAATCTCCTGTTAAGCCAACAAATGAAGACTAAGCAAATGCAATGAATCAAAAATAAATTGGAGGGTTCCCTTTAGAAACCTGCTCAGCTGAAAATGAATTTGATATCACCATGTTTGAGTTTGGAGAAGCCCCAAATCAATTTTAGAGTGGAAACAGCCTATTTCGTGTATTTACTGATGTTTTAATGCCCTCAGAATGTAGAAGTGACCTTCCTCAGTCCCAGCGTGTAAGGCTCATCTTGAAAGAGGATTTAAGACAATTAAGTGGTATTTTCACCGACGTTCCCGTCAGAGTGTTCTGTCCTCAGCCCAGCGTGGAAGCAAATATCATAAAGCTATTGTTTCAGTTTGCTTCCTGTGATATGAATCTCAATCGGTGGCCCCGACCCACAGCCTGAATTTCTCAACGTTAAGGTTTCCTCTCCAACATTCCCACACACAACAGCCTACTGTGAAAATCAAAGGGAAGCATGTTACTAAGTAAAGAAGAAACTTTTCTAAAGCCAAACCTGGTATTTTTTAGCCTTTTGAACTCTGAGATATGTAACCAGCTATTTCCTACTATGGTGAGCCAAAATCAGTGCTTGCTCACCTCCGTGGAAATGCTCAAATAATGAACTCACAATTTGACTTGGAAAAGCATGGCAACTTTGCATTTTTGACAGAAACTGCTGAAAAGTGGGTGTGAGGATAGGAAGGGTTTGCCCTGGGTTTTCTTTGACATCATTTCACCCAAAGCCGATTCTTATTACAAATCAATGTACTCGCTCATCCAATTTTTTTTATTTCTAAGCTATAGTTTATTCAGCAAGCTAGAGGATATGGCCTTTTATGTCATCTTGATGCCCTAGCAATGCTGCAGGTACGGAGCGCTGTTCCCTTTGTACAGATGAGGAAACTAAGGCCCACAGACAGGAGTGTTTACAAGGCTGCGGATAAAAAATGCAGCCATGCAGAGATTCCAATTGCAGGAGCCCTGCATTCCCTTCTCACCAATTCCGTATTTCTCTCCATTATGTGCCAAGTATTTAAAAAAACAAACTATGACTTAAAAAGTAAAAGAGCCTGTCTCACATACAATTTCTGAAAACAGTTTCAACACTGGTCCAGAGAATGCCTGGCAGGAGCCTGGGAGAGGGCATGGAGAAAAGAAGGAGCCGAGGAGCCATCTCGTCCTCCTCTGGCGGTGCTGGTTCTGTGAGGGCTTCTCCTTCAAGGACATCAGATGGCCAAAAGTAGAAACTTTTTATCCTTTTCTGTCATTTTCTTTCCTTGGGACAGAGAGGCCCAGAGCCGATATGCTGAGGGTTCTGGTCAATCTAGGGTTGAGTCCAGAGAGAAGGTAGGCAGTTTGTGTCCACAATGCTCAGCAGCTTCTGAGCTCTGACGTGTGATGTCCCACTGAAGTCACTCTGGTCCTGTCTCTATGGTCTAGCAGGTAGGGGTTCACACCAGCACACATGCAAGCAGAGGGCCCAACCTCTAACCAGTGGCCCTAAGACAATCTCTGAACTACTGAGAAGGACAACTAGGCTTGCATGGGGACAAACACACATGACAAATCCCTGTACCGTGAGCAAAGACAAGAACAACTCTATTAAGGTGTAAGGACCTCCTGAGCATCCACCACTCAGGGCCAGCCCTGATCAGCTCCTAAGTGTCCCCCTTTGACTTTGGTTCCCTCCTCCAGGCCCCTCAGCCCTTGTCCACATCTTAGCCTGACCAGGTTTGCAGAATCCTCCTGTGATCTCCTATCTGCCTTTCTCAAAAGGACCTGAATTCCAGGTAGAGAGTGTGAATTTGAGCAACCTTAACTTTCCTGTTCCTCACTTATCTGTGAAACAAGGAGAAACACCACAAATCCAAATGCATTCAGAGAGACATCCTAGGATTGATAAATGACCCCTCAGAGGCTCTCTGTTGGTAGAGGAAGGGGTGGTCAGGAAGAAAGCAGTGGCTAGCTTAGAGGAATTACAGTCTAAGAGCAGAATTTCAGGTACCATGGCAAGGAAGTAGGGGTATGGGGAGGGGTCTCTATCTAGTCATTAAATCCTCCACTGCCTACTCTGTGTATATAGTAGATGATTCCCACACTCCAGACACTGCCCTCAGCTTCCAGGAAGAAAAGCCTCTTTAAAAGAAAGAGGGACACAAGTGTCTCACAACGGCTTCTCTAGGAGCCTTTATTCTATCAGGCAATGCCAGCTTGGCCGGGCTTTGGCTCATTGTTCCTTCTTTCTGGAGCGTCTGTGACTGAGTCTGCTGTGGCCTTGCTTTGTTTGTAGAGATTGCCTCTCCCCTCAGCGCTCCCCCCGCTGCACTACTGGCTCTTTTCCGAGACTGCGTAGTCAGTCCTACGACATAGGCTTAGCCTCCAACCCTTGGGCCCTCTGAGCCGCGTTCTCTCCCCTGAAGGTCTTTCCCCCATATCCTTCCTGTGCTCAGGGCCCAGAATAGCACAGGCTGGTGTGGCCTCTTGGCTTCACACTGGATTCCCTCTGCTAGGGGCTTTTTTCCTGGAATAGCCACTTTGCAATGGGATGACAGAACCAGCCTGTCCCCAAGGTATCACACTCACTCAGGAAAACCAAAAATGAACCACAAAAGCCCCTGTCCTCCTGACTACCTCCTTCACACTAACCCCCTTGGACATTGCCCACATGGAGCACCAGACCCTCTGCGGCACACTGCCCAGTGTCCTTACAGAACGGACAGACTAGACGAGATTGCCACATAGGATCTGGAACTGGAAAACTTCTCGGGCTGCCTCTCCCTGGTCAAGGACCAACAGGAAATGGTTTTTGAAGAATGTAACCCTCTGAGAAAAAAGAATGTTCTGTGGACCATGAGTTGCAGAGATACGAGGGAGGGTGAGAGTTTATGGGTTCTCTGGGGAGAATGACACATGAGGTGGTCATCAGCCAGAGGCTCCCCCATGGAAATGATCACCGCTAGGCCGTCGTTCCAGTTAATTCTCACAGGCACCCTATTCAGTAACCATGTTTAACCCCATTTTATAGGTGAGGAAATCAAGGTTCAGAGAGGCCAAATGACCTGCTTGGCTCAATGGGCTAGACAGAGGAAATAATTGAATGGGCATACCATCACGTCTGTCCCAGAGAAGACAGCGGCAAAATGCTTCCTGTGGGCAGGTGCAACCTATTTGGGGAAGTCAATGAAGACACTCTTGGTTCTCCCAGGCCTCTTTCTTCTCCTCACCTCCAGGTACCCATGTGTTTGCTTGATCCTGACCATGCCCTCCTCCCCTAGCTGTATTCATCATCTAGGTCATTGCTGGAGAGCTGTTTGACATGAGGAAAAAGGACACCAATGCTGGGGGTGGGGTGTTTGTAGGGTAGGGTGTCTGAGAGGAAGGCTTTGCACCTCTGGCACCCTGGGGGCTCTTGGGTGTAGGAACATGCTGGTAAGGCTGCCCTCTGTGCAGGGGACCTACCACCCTCACCTGAGGACAGAAGCTTGTGTGTTCGCAGGAAGCTGATGGCCAGGCGCATGATGGAGGCCTTGTCCAGGTGGGAGCTCACGCTGTGGGGCAGGGGCAGCTCATGGGCCAGCTCATAGAAGACCTCCGTCTCCTTGCTGCGCCGGCACCTCGCAGCATCTCGGGACTTCTCCTTCCTCCTCTCTGAGCTGCTCCTAAATTGAGAGACAAGGAATTAGTCCTTAAAAGTTCACCATCACCTTATCACACCCCTGGTCAAGACATGGCTGGGGGACCCCACAGCACAGTGCAGCCAAACTCTCCCATGGAATCAATGTGGGCTCGCACTAGTGGCGGGCACCCTGCAGCCTGCTGCCTGCTTTATGTCGTTGGCTCTGCGCGTGTGAGTATTGGTGTCTCCCCACTGCCTCCCTCCTCTGCCATACCCATGGTGTCCAGGGCAGCACCTAATGTGGGGAGGGTAACCACAAAGACTCACTGATGAAGTGAACTAACTGGCAATGCCTTGGACCTGGTCCTGGGTTATCTGGGGACAGGGTCCATGTGCAGGGATGGGAAAGAAAGGGTGAGGAAGCAATGGTCAGTGGCCCGGAGGTCAAAAGCTCTAGAGAACAAGATGAAAAACCATCTCAAGAGCCTCTTTTTGGATAAGATGCACTCAGGAAAAGTGAAACCTTATATCTCATTTTATGTCGGAGACTGATTTCCCCAACAAAACTTGAAAATGCCATCTGGCCCAAGAGGAACTGCTATCTAGACACGCATCAGCCTGCAGTCCCAAATAGCACACCTGTCAAGAGCTAAAAAAGAACTGTATATAACCGGAGATATGAAAAATTGTGCTCTATATATGTAATAAGAATTGTAATGCATTCCGCTGTCATATATGAAAAAAAAAAGAATAGGTACAAATACATTTTTCTCTCCAGACTCTGCCAGCCTAGATCAAGAGTTTCTAGTGCTCATTGTCCTCTTTGCTGCAGCACAGAGGAAGGAAAGATGACAGATACCAAAGCCTACCTCTTTTGAGAAGTACTAAAGAAACCCTTGGTCTTCGAGTTTGAGCACGGGCAAGTTTTAAAGCTAGGATGTCTGTGCTGGCATTCTAACTTCTTGGCTTGTTACCCTGGCAAGCTTAAGTTATTTGAACAGTTAGTTTATCTTTAGTTTCCTCATCTGTAAAACGGTAAAAACTGCACCCACCCCACAGAGTTATTGTAAGGACTAAATATGATTATTTATGTAAAATATTTAGCACCAGGCCTATCCCAACTGTAAGCAACCACTGTTAAAAATAAAATATCTGTCTATGAAAAGATTAACAGGCATATAAAATTCCAAAATGGCATAGGACAGTCCTATTTTCATAGAAATGTATATATTATACATTGTATTTCCTATATGTCATATAAAAATGTCCAGAAATACGATAAAATTATAACTTCTTATAGTGATCACTGACTTTTAGGTATTATCTGAAATAGTGCCATATAAGTGTCTCTAATTCAAACAGCTATCTTCAGAAGCAGGTATTATTATACCTGATTTACAGATGAGAAAAGGGACCGACAGAGGCTAAATTATTCCCCTGTGGCTGCTATCAGGTAAACGGGGAAGTGGGGCTTTGCACGGAGCAGATGGGCCCCAGATTCCAGTCACTTCCCTGTCTCTTTTTTCCTCAATACTATTAACAGTTACAGGGTAGTGGAGATTTTCCTCCCCCAGGGTTTAATCTATATTTTCTTATGTTTCTACAAATAGCCTACATTGCTTATGTAACAAAGAAGTTTCTTTTTCAATTTTTTAAAAAAAGTGTTCAATGCAAGCTCATGCCTCTTGAGGCCCCCGTCCAACCATCTCCATCTCGCTCGCTCAGCTGCCTTCTGAGATTTCCCAAATGAGGGCTGCTTCTCTTTTGTTTGGTTTTGCACAGCCTGTTATCTGGACAGAGAATTCATATTGGGGGATTCACGGATTGTTGACACGTCTCTCAAACCCCTCAAGATTTGGGGCAGAAGCATTGTTTTGACTTTATGACAAATTTCATTTACAAAGACAGAACATCCAGCTCCCTGGATTGATTAAGCAACACACACTCACACTGCAGGAAGAACTGTCCAACAGCTGCTGATGGTCAGGATGATCCTTCAGAAAATTGTGAAATTTTTTTCTTGTCCTCCCTTTTCTGTTTTGGTTTGTTTGTTTTTATCTAACCCTTGCTCCCTCCTTTCTCCCTGGCTTTCAGTTCTCAGGACTCCTGCCCTTCACCCCATTCTCCTACCTTCTCAGAACCCGCCTTGGGGCAGTTTTGCTTTTGTGACCAGACTTGAAGGACAGTTTGCATGTTAGTCCCTTGCATGTGCATTTTAATCCTGACCTTTGATGGGGAGCAGTTAAAGGTTTGCAGGGATTGTGGCACAGGAAAGACAGGTGGAAAGGGGGTGGGATATTAACATTGTATACATCATGCTGCTGCGTCAGGAGAGCCAGGTAAAAGGTGTTGAATTCCACTCTCTCGCACTGACCCTCATATCCTGACAAAAGCATCAACACACATCCCACTCACCAGGGGCGTCTAGAGAAGCCATCCCCAGATGAAGAGATTCCAGCACAGGCTGCCACATGAACAGCAGCATCTGTAAGCACACGGCTTCCCTTTGATGATGGCCACTGCCCCTTCCTCAGAGAAGTGCACGCAAGGCAAAGGAAGAGCCCGGGAGGGAAGAGGCACCCTGAAGGCAACGTTCTGACAGTGGCGTTCGAGATCTGAGTCCTGCTGTACTCCTTCAACCACACAAACATTTACTGATACCTATGTATATGGCTGCTGCTGCACCAAGAGACCTAAATGTATGACCTCTCTATAATCTTCTTACCAACATAACTTGGAATGTCTTGTTTACATAACTTATAGATGCAGAAATGGAGACTCAGCCATATCATGTCATTTCCCCAACGTCACAAAGTTTAAGCCACCATGAGTCCTTGTTTACAGTCAGTGAGCGGACACAGAGCAGTCCTGAGATCTAGGCACTCCCTGTCTCTCCATCCTTGCAACCCCTGAGGGGAGGGCAAGACAGACATTGCCAGTGCCCCCATTTCAGCTATTTGGAAACTGAGACCCAAAGCAGGTTAAGTAACTGCCTGGGCAATCAACTAACTAGTGGCAGAGTCAGAGTCAGAAATCTGGTCTCCCTAGGCCTGTGCTTTTTATACTGCTTAACTGGAGGAGATAGTGGCTTTAGCAAGAAATAAAGAAACAAAAACATCTTAACATGCAGAAAAAGAAGACTGAGAACCTTACCCAGACTCTTGGTCTAAAAGTTATGTACTCTGTTTTAGCTACCTTGCTTTTAGAGTTGCACCCTAGGACTAGTGTGACTTTAATTAGATTATCTCATTAACCTTAACACAGTCCAGAGATGTCTGTCTAATGTTGACTCTTGGAAGAACAGACAGAAATCTGTAATACTGCAATATTTAATTAGCAACAATAAAGAATAAAAATAATTAACACTAAGGCAAAGGTAAGACCTCCCCAAGCCCAGCTGGTACATACACACTTGGCTTCCCGCTACCAGTCACCATGGGTGGGGAGCTGGAAGCCAGGTGAGGTGGTATTTTCATACACTGCTCATGACACTATCTAGCTATCTGATTTTGGACAATAAAATATATTCTCTGGGCTCTGATAACCTCATCTATAAAATGGGAAGAATTCCAGGTCTTGTTTGTCAGGATCAAATGGGATGAGTGTGGGAGCAATAGAAAGCTCTACAACAATGGAAAACCATCATGGCAGATAATAATGACCCATTATCTAGCTAATCAGAGCATTAGTCACATTCAGACTTTGGCCACAGTGCCTGTTCTTCATCACCAGATAAGCCATCTTGGGGAGGAGGGCCATGTCAGGCAGGTTGATCCTGACCTATCTTTGTGTCATGTTGCTGAATCTTCTTAGGTCAGTGAGGTGTTTCATTTCCTAAAATACTCGCCTTTTCTTTTCTCTTCCCAGATGGGTCCCAGAGTGAACTGAAATAGATCAGATTTCTTCTCTATTAGAATTTGTTGGTTTCTCTTTTAAAAGATATTTTATCCTAAATTTTATAAATCATCAGAAAAGGCTCAGAAATTGCTTACTCCAAATTGTTTTTATTTATTTTTTTCTCCTAAGTTCCTCCTCCTATCATTCTCAGTGGCTCTCTTGCTTCCACAGGGAGATCTTACACAATATTTGGCATATGGAGCACATGACCTAAATCTGGTCCTGGTTTACTGTGTCCTTATGCACACACAGAAGTGTTTATGAGAACCTGGTGAGCGAATAAGATATACAACTCCTTGTTCTCCAAGAATATGCTGGCCCAAAGGGAACCAACAACCTGAAATATCTCATGAACCACAGAAATGAGCACAGCCACACACACTCTAGAGGGTTACAGAACAAATCTGGGCAGGATACTCAGGAAGACCAGATTTTGGCTGGACCTAGAAGGCTCAATAACAATGCCTTCATAATGTTTTAGGGGTTCAGAAAGTACTATTTTGCACGTGTATTTCATTTGATTTTCATAACAACTCTAAGAGACAGGAGCTCTGGTCCCCATTTGATAAATGAGGACGTAAAGTTTCAGAAAGATTAAATGATTTGCTAAAAGATGTCTCATATCTAGTTGTTCTGCAACCAAGTGCTGTGTTTGTTAGATACTTTCCTGTAGATAGGATGCTAGTTTATACTATAAGAAGAAGAGGGGGGCTAAAATTTGGAAACAATCCAGTGATGGGGCAGGGAGTGGGGCAGCTCTGACTCGAAGTGAGCACCCATTTGCCTAGGAAAAGACCTAGAACCCCAGGAATAGGGTTAAGAACCAACTTCGGAGGTCAAACAGGGGGTGAGGAAGAAAAGGAATTGGTGCTGAGGGACTTCTCAGAGGCAGCCCGGTTGGTGCAGGGCTGGTATGTGGTGGGTGTAATCAGATGTGACTCCACAGTGCTCCATAAAGACAACCCTGTTGCAGTATCTAATCACACCACAGTTGGGGAACAAGCAGTTTCTGATTTGGGGTGTGGCTTTTTTTTTTTTTTTGGCCTTAAGGTTTTTATGCATAATTTTATGCTGACTCTCCCCAAGTTGGAAACCCACATGATTCTGAAATATTTGATCCTGACGCAAGGAAGCAACCACTTTAGG